TAGACTTCTAATTACTTAAATTAAGTGGTGGGTTGTTCCCATTTCCACTAGTATGGACCATAGCCGCTGCAATTTAACTTTATCGAAGGCCTTTGTGTAATCCACAAAGCACATACGCATAGGAGTATTGAATTCACCAGTCATTTAGATTACCTGTCTGACATTAAGGATGTGTTGTCTTGTGACTTTTCCTGGGACAAATCCCGCTTGTTTTTCTGATCTAAGGAAAATTTCATCTAAGGAATAGAAAAGCTTTTAGTCTTTTATGTATTACATGCAGTAGAAGTAGAAACTTGCTTGGATGGGATATTAGGGTTACCGTTTTGTAATTGCTGCAATCTAGCAGAGTTTCTTTTTTGAATATTGGGATGAAAGTAAATGTTGTCCAGTCGTTGGGCCACTCTCCGATTTCCCAAATCTTTTTGCAGATCATATGGGTAACATTTATTCCAACATCTCCAGTCTCTTGTAAATCTTCTGCGGTAATCTGGTTTCCGTCACGAGATTTTTATTTTTTAACTTTTTGATAACTTTTTCTACCTCTGACTTTAGAGTGTTTGGTTCTCTCTCTGCAGTCAACTCGTCGTACTTTGCATCGAGAAGTTGCAGCGTCGTGTCTGTCATCCAGTGTTTTCTCTTGATAATCTTTTTTTCGGTTCTGGTTCTTTCTTTAGAGATTTCTATGGCATTTCTGAAACCCTTCCATATTTCTTCTGGGTTGTCTTATGTGTTCAGCATAATAGTTTCCTTCATTGCATCTCTAAATGATTTCGGATTTGAAATCTCCAGCTGCGGCATTGTTCTTTTTAGTTTCATTTTGAAGCAAGCCCATAACAATTTATAATCGGATCCACATGCAGCTATTATCAATTATATATCGGTTGGTAATCATACACGTATTGTGAAACTTTTTTGGTCACCATAATTGCAGCACCATTTCTTCCTGTGTTATTTGTTCCCGATATGTATACAACATGATCTGCCGTTCGGAAGTGTCCTTGTCCTTTCTAATGAGTCTCCGAAAGGCCGCATGTTTCTATATCCTCTCCTTTGACTTCTCGTTGTAGTATATGCAGTTTTTCTGGTTGCAATAATCCTTAACCCGGTTGTGGGGTGAAAATAACCCACGTCGTTCATTACCGCTTGTTAAAATAGTGGCAACATCGCCAGATTCGTCTGGCGCCACGAGTACCTTCCCATAATATAACAGACCTTGTATTGCATCATAAATTTCAGTATATAAATAAGATTTGAATGAGTGGTGTCGCCTTCTTTGGACTTGTGGGTGATTTTAACCCCACCACACAGTTGAAGTGCAGTATTATTTAGTTTTTGGGTAATTTTAACCCCACAACACCGGTTAATTATTAACAGGTAAGTTCTTATACTAGCACAACTTATCTCGATTTTTTTAACAGAAACATAATTTAATTGTTAGGAATATTGAAAATTGATTAGATATTCTTAATTTCAGACATATCGAAATATGTGTAGTTGGGAGAAAGAACAAGAAGCTCTCTTGAAGCTTTGGCAGGATGAATTAACTGGATCAGAGTTAGGATCAGAAAGCGAATCTGAAAATGAAAGTCAGCAGGTTAGCCTTAGTTCCAGTGAGGATGTTTTACAAAACCAACTTCAATCAGTGGAAAATTGTCAGCCTGGAACTTCTAATCAGGAAAGTCAATCATCGTCGGAAGAATCTTCTCAAGACAACAATAAGTTTGAAGATGATAAAGTAAGACAATCTAAGTTTTTTATCGGACGGGATGGGAAAACAAAATGGTCAAAGAACTGTCCTAATAAATCGGTTAGAACACGACAAGAAAATTTAATTACTTTACTTCCCGGTGTTCGAAATAATGCAAAACATTGCAAATCACCCATTTCTTGCTGGGAATTATTCATGGATAATATTATTGTAGAAGATATTGTCCAATGCACTAATAAAAAAATCAGTTTAGTCGCTCAGAATTATAATGACCAACATAAATATATCACCAAGCCTACGGACGCAGAAGAAATTCGTGCAGTTTTCGGATTACTATATCTATCAGGCGTTTATAAAGCCAATAGGTTAAATCTGGAGGATCTTTGGGCTACAGATGGAACAGGAATTGACATTTTCAGGCTAACAATGTCCCTGCAAAGATTTATATTACTTTTAAAGTGCCTACGATTCGATAATATCGAAAATAGAGACGAACGAAAAAGAGTAGATAAACTGGCAGCTATACGAGCTGTTTTTGATCGATTTGTATCCAATTGTCAACAATATTTTATTCCTAGTCAATACTTGACGATCGACGAAAAATTAGAATCTTTTCGGGGACGTTGTTCCTTTCGGCAATATATCCCCAATAAACCGTCCAAATATGGCATTAAAATATTTGCCTTAGTGGATGCCAAAACATTCTACATTTTAAATTTAGAGGTATATGTTGGCTCACAGCCTGAGGGACCTTTTCAATTTAGTAATAGACCGTTTGATGTAGTAAACAGGCTTGTAAATCCAATTCGTGGTACTAATCGCAACATTACATTCGACAACTGGTTTACCAGCATACCGCTAATGGAACATTTGCTTAGTGAACATCGGTTAACATCTGTTGGAACTATTCGTAAAAACAAGAGGGAAATACCGACAATCTTTTTGAATTCCAAAAACAGAGCTGAAAACCACGCAATTTTCGGATTTAAAAAAGACATTTCTTTGGTGTCCTTTGTCCCGAAGAAAAATAAAATAGTGTTAGTAGCTTCTTCACTTCATCATGATACAGAATTTGACCACAAATTAAATAAACCTGAGATTATAGACTTTTATAATCACACAAAAGGTGGAGTGGATATGGTTGACGAAATGTCTGCGTTATATAATGTGTCTCGTAATAGCAAGCGATGGCCACTAACAATTTTTTTTTCGCTGCTTAATAATGCAGGAATAAATAGTTATGTTATTTATCAACATAACAAGCCAAATGAAAAACTAAAACGCAGATTTTTTTTAAAACAACTTGGTTTGGCACTAATTAAACCATATATTGAAAAAAGAGGTAATAATCAAAGAATACCATCAGACATAAGAGCGAAACTAAAAAGAAATGACAGCGGAGAGGACTCTCAAGGACCTTCAAACAAGAAACAACGAACAACATCCAGATGTGGAGTGTGTCCCCGTGGAAAGGACAGAAAGTGCCAAAAGAAATGTGTAAAATGTGACATTTTTCTTTGTCTTGAACATTGTGTATATTTTTGTTCTAAATGTGCAAATAATTGTTAATTATGCTTTTTAAACAAAAGATCATAGTTACTTTTTATAGAATTTGTAGTTTTTTTTTATTCTATATCTCTAATAAAAATTTTATTAACAAAAATTGTGGTAGTGGTTTAAATATCAACTAAATTTTAGTATATTTTTTGAATCGTTGAATTATTAACGAAAATTTTTAAAATGATTTAACTTTGAAAAAGATTATATAACAATATAACCATGATTTAAAATCTTAAGGTTGCATGTAAAAATAAAATATTTTCTCAATTTTATAAATAAAAAAAAAATGGGGTGATAATTACCCCAACACACAGCTCCTGTTAGAAAATTTCACCACACAGTCGCCGGGTTAAACATTCCAGGTTACTATTCCCATTACTTTTCTTAACTGAAAATCTAATTTTTTTCCAGACTCCAATTTCGCATGTATTGCCACGTAATGATGTAATGATGCCACGGAAATATAATCAGGTGGTTTTCCCTTGCCTGCCTGATCGCAGTATCACAACCTGTTGAATCATTATGTGATGTGCATGGGTGCTTATTTGGTAAATTCACCTATCCTATTTATCTGTAGGACATTTCCGTATCAGCCAGTGGGACGTGCCGTGTCGGGGTTGAGGACTCTCCAGCCATCCGTCTTCCGCTAAGTACAGAAGAGTCCCGACTTAATTCAGAACTCCTGCTCCACGCAAGCTGGGACGGACACGGAATTTCCATTTTTAATATAAGATTAATGTTCACTTATTTTAACATAAAGTCTTCTTGATGTTTCACCTAAATAAAAATGATCGCATTCATAGAATATTTTATAAATACAATTCTTTGTTCATTCTTGCTCATTCTTAGGTTTAGTTTTAGGTAAAATAGATGTCAATGTGTTTGTTGTTTAAAGTGTTGAATTGTTGAATTCTTGAATTTTTTTTTCTATCGATTTAAGTTTTTCCGATGATCCTTTTATGTATGGTATTGGTATTTTTCTAGTATTATTCCTTGTGGATGCTGTAGGATCTAGTTCTAGAAGTTGTTCAAATTTATTCGGTCGATTCTAGAAAATTCCTTATTTATTAAAGGGTTTTTATTTTATTACCCTAACAAAGGGTAATGATTTTTTTAATAAAACAGATGTTATGACACGTTTCTCCTCTTAAACGAATTTTCATTACAACAAGTAATTTTGGCTTTATTGTATAAGAATTTAATAATTTTCTTTTTAATATTCAATACTATTATATTTATTTAATATTCATAATCATTTTAATCATTAATAGTAAAAAGGGAAAATCAAAGAAGCAGCTATAATTATGCTAAACAAGACCAATTGCGTCGCAAATTCGTCGGCAGAATGCATTATTGCTCAACAATATTGGAACAGTTGTCTATTTTAAAATGTATAATATATGTCTGAATTGTCAATATGAATGAGTCAAATAAAATTAAATTATTAGAAGAATTTTTAACCAAGTAACAAAAAACAACATTTGTTTAATTTATTAATGTTTTGTATTTGAGAACGATTTTCGAAGTGGAAATCAAAACTTCAAAAATAAACTTATTTTAAACTTAAATTGTGGTTTATTCTAAACTAGAATAGTAACTGCATTAACATGGCATAAGAAAATAGCTTCAGAACAGTATCACGAAAACAATATATAATCTAAATATAAAATCTAATTTTTTTTTAATAATAATATTTTATTTTTTATAATCTAATTATAAAATTTTTACTTACTTTATTATAACAACTTGTAAAAATACTAACAGTCCTTCTAATGAGTAGGAAAAGGCATATGTTTTAAAAAGTGCTACTTTCAAACTAGGTTTATCCTTTTTTCCGGCTTTGTACAACATTAATTCATTTTCCCAATGTCTAAAAAGGCAAAAATGTTAAAATACATGAGAAATTACTTAGTAGAAATATTACAATAATATTTACTCCTAATTTAGTGCAGCCAATTGGTAAAATATTTTAGGTCCAATCTTCTGTTTGGTACAGTTTCCGTCAAGATATAAGAAATTTTGCTGACGCTGGTGGGACCACCTTACCGATTTAATTATAATAACAAACAATAGACCCTCCAAGAGCGGATTCGTTAAAATTAACGAAAAGGTTCAAGTACTTATAATATTTTAATAGGGTTGGAATAGTAAATATAAAATTAAATATCATGTTATTATGTACAATGAAATAAGAGAAATCAACAAATTAATGAAATTAAATAAAATAATGTTAATAACAGTAAAAGATTAAAAGAGTGGTAGCGAAAATCCGAAATAAAAAAGATAACATAATAAGATTAGAAACAATAACATAAAAAAATAAAATTTGAAGTTTAGATCGAAAAAAATATTACAAATTACAACTCTATATCACTATCGCAGTAGAATCGTCATCATCTCATATTATAATTATTGGTTTAATATGTTAGGTTAATGTTCTGCAACGACCTTCCGTTATTATAACATGTGAAACACAATTTTGCCACAATGTTGGGGAAATCCTTTTTATTTCTTCTACAACATGTGATACCGATTGGTTACTAAATTTGGGACAGCAGTTGTTTCGCCGTTAACTTTCCTTGAGTTGGCTCCAGATTAATTTAATAGGGTTGAAAGTAATCGCAATATAATATGGCCATGGCGTTTGGCTAATTAGTCTATACCAAACTGTTTTTCAAATACTTGTGTGTGAAGAACTTTTAACATTTTCTTTTTGTATATGTTTCTTCAAAGTACAAATCATTTTTATACAAAAAATCTGAGATTTGTTTTTTCGTCGAGCCTCCACTGGGGATTTTTCTAATGTGTTCACTGCGATACGTCGCGTTATTCATTACAATGACACTTTTTGGAGGCAAATTTGGCAACACTTTCTTCTCAAACCATTCCTTAAACAAGTTACTCGTCATATTTTCAGCTTTGCATCTTTAATGTTTTTTGTCGATAGTTAAAAACTTTTTCAAAGCCCTCTTTTTGAATCCAATGTTAAGAAAAATTATTCGCTGACCTCTATTAACCCATTAGCTGCCATGATCCCCATTTGGGGATTTCGCTTTTTGTACCGTTTGGCAACTACGCATATTATGAAACTCTGTTAGTTTAGGTTATGTTTTGTTCCTTGAACATTCACGTGTGTGGTTTTGTTGGTTTACGATATTTTGGTGGCGTAAATATTGAAATATTTAGCTTTTTGTGAAAATTTGTGGCTGGTAAGTTGACCTTTTTACATACCTATATTTTCATTATTATTTTTTGATAGATAAGTTTTGACAAGAGTTTTTTGTTTATAAAGTGTGGATAGACTAGAGTCTTAAGCATACAAAAAAGATACAGCCACACAAAAAATAATAAAAATGTGGCTGTAGGGTCCTTTTGTGTTCCGATACCCAAATGGGGACCATGGCACATGTAATATTTTTTTCTTTTTTTTTAGATTATGAGTTCCAAACCTTTCCGCTCCTTGAAAGAGCTTGAGGCTTACATAGATGATCCAGAAAATCATGTCTACATTGATGAAAGTGAATATACCCATATCGACATCGTTGAACTTCCACCAGACCGCGTAGACTGCGTGACAGATTCTGAGGATCTAGATGAGGATGTCTTAGGTGATTCCGTTCCCCTAGACCTTCCAGGAGATATTGAGCTTCACGGCCTCACGGATGTTAAAAAGATACCCCAATCTGATCAGCCGCAGCCCAGCTGTTCTACTTCAAAACGGGTAAGATCGAAAACAACTGCCCAAGCGCCCAAGAGATCTAAAATTGCTACCAGTCAACCTCCAGCCTGGAAAAAGGTAGAAAAAAGCCAATTTTAGTGTATTAGCTGATCCAAATGAAGCTCAATCGGCATGCGATATCCGTCGGCAAAAAATTAAAGATGAAATTCGCGGTAAATCACCAGCCGAAGTTTTTGAGTTATTCTTTGATGAAGAACTAATGACCTATATTGTTAGGCAAAGTGTGATTTATGCAGCCCAGAACAACAGGCATGAGTTCACTTTTTCTGTAAATTGTCTGAGAAAGTTTCTAGGCATACTCATATTGACTGGATATCATTCTCTCCCACAAGAACAAATGTATTGGTCAGAAGACGAAGATTTAAATGTCCAAATTGTAAGAACATGTATGTCTAGAAATCGCTACCTAGAAATAAAACGAAACATACATTTCAATGACAATTCACTTATACCTGTCAAGCCGGAAGAGCATGATAAGCTCTATAAAATAAGACCCATCATAGACAGGTTCAATAAATTATGCATGAGATTTGGAGTTTTCAGTAGCAACCTGAGTATTGATGAGCAAATGGTGCGGTATTTTGGTCATCATTACCTGAAACAATTTATCAGGGGAAAGCCCATTCGATTTGGTTTCAAACAATGGGCGATGTGCTGCTCAGAGACAGGTTTCTGTTTCGATACCGAGGTATACGAAGGTAAAAAAGCCGATACTGCTGCCAGTGTTAGTCTAGGATCTTCTGTAATCTTGAAAAAAATGGAGGTTATCGAAAATCCCTCTGAGCATTGTTTCTACTTTGATAACTTTTTTACCAGCTATGAACTTATGAGAGAGCTATCTGATAAGAAGGTCTGCGCTTCTGGAACAGTGCGCAGTAACCGAATGGGCCGTTGTCCTTTGACATCTGACAATGAGGTAAAAAAAGAGAAGCGGGGATTTTTTGATTACCGTTTTGACCAAACAAACAATATATTTGCGGTAGTGTGGAAAGACAATAGCTGTGTCAAACTCCTGTCAAATCATGAAGAGGTCCTGCCAATAGCCAAAGTCGCTAGATGGTCGCGAACGGAAAAAAAAGAAATACTTTTGCCTCAGCCCAATGTTATAGCTAAGTACAATAAATATATGGGGGGAGTAGACAAATTAGATTGGAATATCCAAAAATATAGAATTAAAATTAGAGCAAAGCGATGGTATTTCCCCTTATTTACAAACGTTATTGATATGGCTCTAGTAAATGCTCACGCAGTCTACTCTATTGCAAATGGTAGTGTTCCATTACTTGATTTCAGGAGAGCTGTAGCCAAAGCTCTTTTAAGGGTGAATTCACTTTCAGACCCAAAAAAGCTTGGAAGACCATCTTTAAAAATGAAATCTCAAAAACGTGTGCCTGAACCAGTGAGACGAGATCCAGTTGGACATTATCTTGAAAGGACTCCCGAAGGCAAGCAAAGGAAATGTGCGGTCTGCAAATCGAATGTAAGAAAACAGTGTTCTAAATGTAATGTTGGTTTACATGTAGAATGTGTAGTTGCTTGGCATTCAAACTAATTGCTTTTTGTCAATATTTTGTAATAAAAATATACCTTGCACTAACCTTGTACTTATGTTATTATTAAGCATAGTATATGCCATGATCCCCAATTGGGGATCCACGATAAAAAACGTCAAAAAATGACAGATTTTATAAATACATACCAATGGAGTCTATTTTTGTCAAATAATTATACATCAGTATTCAAAAAATCGATATTAGCAAGAAAAGAAAAATTGGCAGTTAATGGGTTAATTGGATAATTGGGTGCACACTTAACAGAGCCATCTGTCCAAACTTTTTGAGCAGTATCGTAGGTATCGAACTATGTTTCATCCAGATAAAATATCGGTGTTTCTTCATCTCTAAATTTGAATATAGCATCCAAATATTCGTTTCTCCAGTTAATAAGTCGAGGGAATTCATGATTGATGATCACTTATTAATTTTCTTGTATCGAAAATTAATGGGATTCAAAAACCTTGATAAAGTTAAAAGCAAATTCATAATAAAATAGTCTTTAACAAGTTGATCGTAGATCATACTACTGCATCTATTTTACTACTATATCATTTTTATATACTGCTTTATAAGCAGAAAAGCCACTCAGCTTTTTACGAGGATAAATTGTATCTGTAACAATTTTCTACACTGTTGAGATGTTGCTTTGATAAGAAATTTCCCGTCTTTTGGATTTGGATTATCTTCTTTTACTGTTTTATAAACGTGTCTAATATATTCTTTGGCATCATCAGATAAATGTAAACGTGTTTTACACTTAGCACTAGCTTCACTAATTCCTGACATTTCACTTGAATATTCGTGACCCAACCACCGATCTGAATGTAAGAAAATAACTGCCTGGATGTGCAAATGTCAAACTAAAATATGTTCGTAATATTTCATAAATTATGTTTTCTAGATAAATAAATGATACCTAATTATATCTAAATACCTATCACGAGAATTATAATGTGTAAAGCTATTGAATAATAATAAGTGGTATACTTTATCTTTAACTAATATACTTGCTAATAATTTTTTAAATTTTCTTTATTTAAAGATAGAAAGCCTTTTCATCGAAAATACATTTAATTTAAAGTGAAAACGGCATAAAACAGATAATATTCTAACTGCATAAAATTCAAGTAATGAGCCAGTTTAACCTAAAATAGGTAACGAGTCAGTTCTGTAAATAATGTAAAGTCCGGTCCTAGTGAGCTGTTCCAAAACAAATGCTACCCGTCGCAAAGGCAATTGTGTGATAAGTAACATTAATAGGTCTTCTTCTTCTTCCTTCTAGTATATAGGCTTTAAAGCCTGTTTTTTTTCGATATTAGCCTCATAAATTGTCGCACTATCTTTTTCTTGGTCTGCCAATACTTCTTCGTCCACTTGGTGACTTATCTCGTGTTATTCGTACTACTCTATCCTCTGCCATTCTACTGATATGTTCGTTCCACTCCTGTTTTCGTTTTGTCACTCATCCATTTATGTCATCTATATTGCATGTTCTTTTATGTTTTCGCTTCTCTCCCTATCCAATAGACCTTTACCTGATATTCGTCGGAGTATTTTCATCTCTGTTGCTTCTAG